AAAACAAAGGACAGAATAAAATTTGAGAATACAAAGGAAAGTTTTCTCTACATTTTGTCTTTGCTATACCAACAGTTTAATTTGTTTTAAAGGCATCGCATAACCTATGTCACTTCTCTTAGATGATTAATTGGCCATCAGTGTAATGTAATACCAGGTGAGCTAATTTGTCTACTTTAAGTGACTGCATTTATGTTCATTCCCAACATTAATCTATTCAAAGACAAGACTTAGCTAAACTTTATGTAAATGCAAACATATTTCAATTCTGTCGTATTATATTCAATTAGTAAATATATTTTTCCTTCTGCTATAAATTATTTTTAGCAGCTAGCTAAATTAAACTCATCTCTGAAACTGTAGTTTTTCCTTCTCCAAAGGCTTTTCTAAACTTTTTCGACTCCCCAAGAACGGCGGACTTATCAGTACGTCCAGAAACAACATTCATGGATTTGGACATGTCAGCTTTTACATTTTTGGGACAACTCATGTGAGGACACCTGTTCATCTGAGCATGGCGGCAATATTTGTGCATAGATGTGTGTCTCTGTGTGCATTTGCTTGCATATGTGAGCACCTATCCATTTGTGCATATCTGTGTGATGCGATGTGCATGATGGGTGGTAGTGAAGCATATTTGCCTCCCAGCTATATCATTTGCATACTTGTCACAGCCTGTGCGTTGGGTGTCAGGTTCAATGATGCATGCTGTTTTTCCACTGGTGGCGCTGGCATTCACGGTGTCCCACTGTTATGGCGACGCGCACGTCAAGTGTTGCCGCGACGGCCGACAGTCCGACATCACACACATGCGGGGAGCTGACGCAGCCATCAATTTGTGACGTCACTCAGAGCTGGTGAGCAGCCCAGCAATGCTCTGCTTGATTAGACTGCGTGTGACTGCCTCCGATGAAAATCTGCAAGTTTGCTGAATTGGAAAGGCAGAGAAGTGAGTTGTCCTTCAGTGGTGAAAATCTGAGCAAGGTGAAAATGCTCAGCGAAAATGCTGCAGCAAAAACAAAAAACGTCCTCGAAAGTGCTTCAAAGTTTCTCCAAAGGAACTAAACAAAACGTGAATGCAAGGAAGCGATAAGTGGGCTTTGTTATCATAAATAAAAACACATCTACTGTATCCTCACATGTAAATGCACTCGGGCACAGAGAAGACACCAAGCTGTGATTTGAACAAGATCCCAGATTTCTTCAACCTTGATGTGCTCTACACTCATGTTCAAACTTTGCAGTTTGGGCAGCAGAAACCTGGGCTGCTGTACTATAAATAACTTGGAAAAAAAAACCTTTGGTGTCTCACACAAATATTCATATCACAAACATTTTTATTTTTTTTTTTACATTTTGTCACATTAGAAGATAAAATCTTATTTCAAGGTAGTTCAGCTCAAAGGTACAGATACGTTTGTGTGAAATAAAATGGCATTGAAATAAATTGGATATACGTTTTTTGAAAATTTTGAAAAAATCTTGAGTCAGTTCTTTGTCAAACCACCATCCTTGCAGCCACAAGTCTTTATACGCATCACTCTACCAGCTCTACATCTAGAAGGTTGCATTCATTCCCATATTTTTGTGGGGACAGTCTCTGTCTGTGAAGAAATTTAAGATCTTGCAACATGTTCTTTATTGGATTTAGGTCTGGACTTTGATTAGGAGATTCTAACAAGTGAATAACCTTTGAGCTAAACAATTTCTCGGTAGCTCTGGCTCTGAACTCAAAGATTTCACATTAGTTGACTGTGAACTTCCGAGTTCATTGTAAGCTCTAGCAGGTTTTCTTCCCCACCTCATAATGCTGCCAGTGCCAGTCTTACGGTCGATACCGTAGCTGATGCAGATATATTGTGCATTCCTAGTAAAAATAGTTGAAATCCATGTATAATTTTCCTTCCACATCATAATTTTCTGTTACACTGTGCATAACTAAATCCTATTAAAACACATTTATGGTGTTTGCTTGTACAATGACAAAGTGTGAAAAATTAAAAGGGTATAAATAGACGCGTAGCCCTCTTTAGGACTTATTGTCGGAGCGTACTGACAACCGGCTACAATGGGAAACAAACAAACATGGTTCTTAAATGATTAGAGGACGATAAAAAGTCATACACACAAGAGAGGCTATCCCCGCTGTTTTAGAGGAGCATTCTCAGCTTGACTAGATGATATAATGAGCCGTTATGTTGTGGCTGATGGGATGAGAGAGGACAGGACGTTATAGAGGAGAAAAAGACTGCAGCAGAGGAGACATCAAAAACAAACACTCACAGCCACTAAAAGTGTATCACACGTTTTCTCGAGCAAATTCAAACTGTGACAAAAAGTGTCAGCTGTTCGAAAGGTTAAGTTTTCAATTTCGGCGGATGCAAGTCACCGTGGTGAGGAAGGACGGACATGAAAGATGAAAAGGTGAGGAAGGACACTTGGAAGGTGGCTCCGGTTATGGGTCAAAGGTTTTTATTTGTCGTGAATTAGTTTGGAGGTGTGTGTTGGTGTGAGATGAGGAAAAGAGGAAAGAGGGGCAGGTAGAGGGTGGGGGAGATGCTAAAGGTCTCTGTTGATGATTTACATGCTCCATCAAGCAAACTACTGGGGCGTAAAAAGTGACATGGTCTGTTCCTTCAACCTGCCTGACCCCAATCTCCACTGCAGATCAGGTCCCCCTGCCGCCTGCCCAGCCTCCGGAGCTCCTCCTTTTCCTCCTCCTCCTCAGAAACGTCCGCTCTCGCAGCCCAGCAAACACAGACACACTTCCAGACAGGTACGCCACCACGCAAAACTGTTCCCAGCACTTTTTGTTGTCACTTTACAACCACGCACATCAATGTACTTTATGTGATTTTATGTGAAAGCCCAACATAAATGAGGCTAAAACTGTGAAAAACTTAAGTCGGAAGAAAATAGTTCAGTTTTTGTCGTATTTGAAAGGTTTCCTGGGTCCCACTCATGAATGGCAACAGCTGGTATAGATCTAGCAGTTTTGTTGATAGATATTCCCACCTGAGCTATGGATCTCTGGAGCTAATCCTGAGCTACCATGGATATCTTGTTTGTGTCTCGGTTGCAAAGCTTCAGATATTGATTCACAACCTCACCCTGTTTTAAACTCCTCTATCCCGCGATTGTCTGTTGTGTTCCTTGATCTTCACGATGCTGATTGTTCACTAATGTTCAAACAAAAAGTTCATGTTTCACACAACAGCTAAGTTTAAACTAAGATTAAATTAGTACAGGTGTGCTGTATTTGCTAATTAAGTTACCTCTGAAAGCAGCTGTTAGGATTTTATTTACATATAAGAGGACTGAATATGCATCGCGCACTTCTGGATTTCTTTGTAAACAAATTTGAAAACCATGTATCAGTTCCCTTTCACTTCAAAACTAAACAGCTATTGATTTATTACTTTAAAAAATGTGAAGGAGTGTACTTTCCTTTCATTTCTCCATCAAAGTTTTCATTTTGTGTACCGTAAACCACCAATAGCATGTTTCTGTAAAAGTGTTTGGGATACTATCCCACCATGGTGCAAAAAAAAAAAAAAGTTATTCCTGTAAGGTATTCATTGTTGTCCTCCCTTCTCAACTTTCACTCAGACGTAAGTAAAAGTTTTACTGAAATCAAATCTTTAATCAGCTGATCACACATTGAATGTTCATTCTTAGTTGTTTTTTGTTTTTTTTGGGGGTACTTAAACTTTATGTTTACCTGATGTTTTTTCATTCCCTTATTTAGTTAAAAACTAAAATATATTAGTGAGACAACTATTGAAATGATTATTGATTGTATTAGTAGTCAGAACCAATATAATCATTCACTTTTTAATTGAAGCCTAAGACTAACTATGATATTTCTCTCTTTCCTTTTTATGAAGTATGCGATTAGGGCTCCCTGACAAAGAACTTATAAAGTTTTGAGAATCATAAGAAAAGCAAGTTAGTAATGAGAATCATTAAGTTAAAAATATATAAACATAAACGGCAAACATTTAGATTTCATTGCTCCTCTATACTCCTATCAATGCATAGATAAATAATGTGTTGACCATAAATAAAATTTGTTGATCTGATAACTTTTATAAGCCAGCGAAAAGCAGACTGCCTGATTTTGGACATTGCTTCTTTCTCCTCCTACAGAACACATTTTATTGAAACAATAATGACTAAAACTACTCTTTCAAAGCATTTTGCTGATCCATACATTGAATGGATCTTTGTATTGCTTTTTACTTGTGTGCTAATTAATCGCACCGATCATCTTCACTGAAGAAGACCTCCGGTACTTGGCACTAGAGGGCACTAGGGCTGCGCTAATGCTAAGCTGCCCCTCCACCTGCAATGCAAGTGCATGAGAGCACATACTCTTCATAAGTAGGACCCTTGTCGCTTTCAAAATCTCTCCCCCATTCTTCTCGATCACTCTATCGGTAGGATCGCACCACTATCAGCCTGCTCTCAGGAGGCCCTCGCCTCTGAGAAGGTCAGATGAAGGAAAACTTCCTTCCTATCTGGCTCCATTAAGGCACCTGTGACCTTCGGCTCCAGTGCTAAAAAATCCATGCGTGTTTGTGCGTGAGGGCTTGAAGCTGATGGGAGTGTTGTTTGTTTGACTGTTTATTCCAGTGACAGCTTCAGCCGTGCACACACGCAGCGCTACACATGCCGAAACAAGCGCTTCTCTCTTTTTTTTTTTTTCTTTTTTGTAAAATGAAATCAATAGATGCAGATATCATCCGCGTTCTGTCACTGCACATCTGTCGCAACAAAAGGCAACAAAAGAGCAACTTGCTTCTCGAGCAAGTACAAACGACTTGTCATGCGGAGCCACAAACGCATGTTCCCACTCCCAATTAAAACATTAAAATAGTGATTCCAGCGTCTTGATTATTGCCAGAGTGTGTGTCAGATCAGAAGAGAGAACAAATAGCGTCAGACGGTTGTTGCTGCACGCTGCATTTTGAGCCTCACGGATCACGTACGAAGGATACAAATCTCCTCAGAGTATGGAACGGCGGCGGTGCCGACAGATGTCATGTAGCCGTAGAAGGACACCTCCAGAGTGTAGCAGTATGAAGTGTCATCAAGAAGACCGCCGAGGAAGCGCCTACCGGTACCGGCCTTCACTTTGTCCCGGTTAAATGAAGTGTTTGACTGAAAAAAACAACAAAGAATAAGAAATAAAATACAGGTGAGGTAAATAGAAAACCTCTTTAGAATTGGGGTGAAGTACTTCTACAAACGAACACCCTCCTCAATCTGTGAAGTTAACTAATATTTATAGTTACAAAATCAAAAGTTTCCTCTTTAAAACATTTGGTGTGAGACCTGAAAAACTGATTACTTCACAGTCAAAAAAGGCAAAAAGGACATATTGGATTAGTTTTTATTTTGGACAAATATGGTAAAAAAAAAAATCATGAATTTTTCTCCCAAAGTTTTACTGTTAGTCCATTTTATCCAAATTACAGAGGCCGAAGTGTCACCTATAAACGTGCATAACATTTTAACACAGTCTCATTCATCTCCTACCTTCCAAGTACAAGTGTAAAGCAATATAATTTGAAAGGTAAGGTGCACAGAGAGTACACAATTACCATAAAACATAATTTACAGCCTTATAGCCATAAAACTGAGTAAGAAGAGTAATAGTGGATGCTAACTATATTACAGTAAGAGTCACACAGGCAAGTCAGTGAGACGGTTGCTATTTCTGTAAGAACTGCTAATTAAGCACACATTTATTGGCACCTCTGCTAAAAATGTGTAAAAAGCCTTAAAATTAATTAATCTTTTATTCCAAGATGCACAACTTCACACTGAATTTTTTTAGAAAATCCCTAGTTTAAATTGACATTTATTCAGTGAAGAAAAAGTGAAAAAAAAAAAAAAAATCAAAGGAATATAAAAAGTAATTGTTTTTAGCAAATTCAACAGTAGCAAAGGTGGGATTTAAGTTAGAGTAAGTAGGAACTTTAAATTGGTAGCACATGACTTTATTTTTACCTGAGGAATGACACAGAGTCACTGTCCACAAGGCTGCAAGAGGACTAATATTTAGTTTGCCACCACACATTGAGGAGGATCGTGAAGGAGATCTCCAAAGATTAATGATGGTCGTAGTGTTTCTGTCTGTACTACGAACGCTGCATGGCGGAGGCTTTGTGTGCTGTGAGCCTGTTTCGCTACTAAAGCGCAAGAAGACCTTGTTTGATTGTTTGAGGTATCAGGACATTTTACATAAGAATCTACTGAACTCTGCTGGAAAACTGAAAATGAGTCCTCAGTAGGGTGTTTCAGTCAGGTGTTGATCCAAAGCATATTGTCAAATCAACAAAGACCAGACACAAAAGGAAGTCTTTAAGGTCATCACAGTCTTCAGAGCTGAATGTAAATTGAGTATTTACAATTTTATTTAAGATTACTTTATTAGGACATCAGTCTAGTGCAATTTATTGTTTAGCATTATTCCTGAATGCAATAAAATGTTTAGTCTATTTCTCTTTTGCAATATGCCAAACTACTGAGCTCCATAGTCTTTGTAATCTTGGTGTTTTTACCCAGTCGTCTGTCACTTTGTTGTTGGTTTTCACTCTCGCCTCTTTCATCTGCATTGTTTTTCAGCAAACGGCGCTCTAAAAAGCAACCTAATGCCACCTGCCAGTCATCAAACAGCCAATTTAGCATGCAGTTTGCAAACACACGGGTACATTTAGCAGGTAATGAGCCATATATGCATATCTAAGGATTCAAGGAAGACCAAGAATGCTGCTCAGAGTCTGCATGATGTTTTATTAGGCAAGTGTTTGCTAACAAGTTTGCAGGAATGTATTGTGTCAGAAAGGGAACAAAATATTTAAATTATAGACAGCAAAGTATCTGTGGAAGAGGGAAGTTGGGAAAGTCCAGATGGGTGTAATAAACTCACTGAACGCTTAGGAAGAAGTGATTACTGGATCGATGGACAATCATGCTCTATTTGTTCACATAATCACAGATGACATGTCTGTAACAGACCTTTATAGGAAGAACATTGTTATAAGCTCAGTTTAATGTGCCAACTTTATGCATTGAAGATACATAAAAGTGGATGCAGCTGCTGTCTTTGAAAAGCAAAGTCGATGGAAATGGCCATAAACCTGAATATTACAGACAGCTGTTATACTCTGGCTCCACAAAATCTGTTAATCCAATCAGATCTTTTAAAATACTATATTATAAATAAAATGTTCAGCGTTATGGGGATATTAGGTAGCTTCATTTCCTGTGATCGCTCTGCTCTTCTCCTGAAAATGATCTTATTTTCACATCTCAAAGACCAAGTTCTGCTTGTTCAATCAATGTCCAAAAAGTGTACTTGGACTTGCTTTGTTTAAATAAACAGATTGCGTTAACTCGGTGTGCTAAGTGATTTTTTGGAATTGTTTATTATGTGGAAATAGTGGATAAACATCTCAAATCATCAGTCAGGAATTTAAAGCCTGGGCACAAATTGATCTCTCAAACGGACAATAACTAATCATTCCAGCTAATTCGTTACAAAGTGGCTTAAGGACAACACAGTCAATATTTCACAGCGGCCGTCACAAAGTCCTATCTCAGTCGGTTTGGAAGCAGAGCGTTCCACAAAACAATATGTGATATTCCTACAGCATTTCAAACACAGAAAACCTACAGACACTGTCAAAAATATTTATTTGTCAGACTGTATTGGCTCGACGCAAAGCAAAGAAATATAACAGCCATGATAAGTATTGACTGGCATGTCTCATTAGTAAAAATGTGTTTATGTCCTGGGATTTCTCTCTCGGAGCAACTTGCAAAAGGGAGTTCTTTTCAGCATATTTACACAATGTCATTACAAACCCTGGCTGTAAATGGGCAAAGTGTGGGAGAAAAATCTATTTCAGCTCTGAGCGTGTCAGCTATAACACACAATTTGACGCCGTCTGGGGAGGAGTGTGGAAAAACTTTCCATTCACTGTGAATTCGCAGCAGCCAGAGTGGACTTGCTGAAATGCAGACTCGCTGGCCACCGGTGGGAGTTTGCCGTGATTGTGTTGTGCTGCTGCTGCTGCGTAGGGCTGGGCTTTAAGGTAGTGCTGAATGGGCATGGGGACAATGGTGCAGGCAGGGAGATGACCCCTGGGCCAGCTGTCACACAAGACATCCTGAGTACAGAAAGACCTTCTCTCGAAACGGAGCTTTGCTCGCTGTGCGTAACAAACCCCACCGTACAGACACGGATAATAAGCAAAGTTTTCTTTATTGCATCGACAAACTGGGACGTCTAAAGATCAGTTTGTGTTAAATATTCAAGTTGCTCCGTTATTAAATGTCAACAGCACTAAACAAAGGAAGCAGGAGATGCATCCTTCTTTAAAAAGGGGGTCTGTATGTGAAACTGGGAGATTTCTACAATTCTTCATCCATATAAACCAAGATTCTGGACAGGGTAACCAACCTGGTCCACTTCTACAGTCAAACACTACAGTTTCACCTTCTACTTTCCTGCACAGAAAACTGGGAGAGTGTTTAAGTCCTTTAGAGTTTTTGACATTCATAGATTTTTTTTTTTTCTAATCTGCATACAGACCGTTCTTTGAAAGGACAAAATGACAAAGGTGTTGGAGTGTTTTGTTAATTAATTAAAAACCCAAGGAGTGAAGTATTCGATTAACATAAGTGTCCACAGTCTTTGTTATGACATTCGCAATTAGGTGGTGGAGCATCCCACAGCTAGGAGAGATCCTTGAGAGGCTTCTATGCCGTGATTGGAGTCTACCTGAACTTAACTGAATTAATTGGATGTAATCAGGGAAGGTCTGCAGAAGGTCTCACAGTTGATGGTGTTTGTCTTTATAAAAACCAAGCTATGAGGTCAGGACAAGAAAACCCACAAGCCTGTGAGACGGAATTGTGTCGACGTGTGGATCTTGTAAACGACATAAGAACGTTGATGAAACCTTTGAGTTCTGTCTAAAGTTAAGCAGCACAGTGAATGGAAGTAGCTGGAAGTCTCATCTTTGTACACGTCGTCAATCATACTTGACTCTTCAAGGTTTAACTGCGCTAGATGTAATCTATCTGTAAATACATAATTCTGACAGCCGGTTTATAGAAGACACTTTCTTTTCTTGAAGCACTGTTACAGGAAGAAGTTTGCATCTTCGAAGAACGATTTGAATGCAGAGCACTGCTCCATTGCACACATCTAAGTATTCCTATGCCTGGGTAGCCAGTAAAGAAGTTAAAAATTAAAAACCTATGACATAGCCCCTTTCTTCACCTGACCGGAATCTAAAATCTAAATTATATATATATAAAATTAAGAGACCTCTGCAAAATGATCAGTTCTCTGATTTCACTCTTTATAGGTAAATGTTTCAGTGAAATGAACATTGTTCTTTTATTCTATGAACTATTGACAACATGTCTCCGAAATTCCAAGCAAAAGTTTAGTATTTATTTACCGAAAATGAGAAATGGTCAAAATAACAAAAGAGCTCCAGAGCTTTCAGACCTCACAAAATGCAAAGAAAACAAGTTAATGTTCATTTAGAAACAGCATTACTAATGTTTTAACTCAGGAAGAGTTCAGAAATCAAGATTTGGTGGAACAACCAGGTGGTTTTCAGTGGGGTTCAGTGCAGCGGTCTCTTAATTGTTTCCCAAGCTGTACGTATATATTTGCATTTATTGTTATTTTCACATGGTTTTTCAGCCATCACACTTCTGTTCTGGGATCAAAGCGAACATCTTGACATATGACCTTTTCATTTATCCTCTTCAGTAAATGAACTTCCCGTTTGGATGTCTGCAGGTTTAAGAAATGCTTTTATCATCTGTATGGGGGAGTTTTCTAATCTAACACTGTTGAAGCATAATGTTTTCTTCTCATCAACACCTACCTTGGATGCATGCAGCTACACTTCAAAGACAGTCAGTCCAAACTATGCTCCCAAGTGTCTGCCACTTAGAGTGCAGCAGTTCAGTGCCTCTCCGAACACCACTTCACCAGGACTTGCTGAGATAAGACTATTTCACGCTGTTAAGCAAAGTAGTAGAAATTCTGGGTTCTGAGTCCTCACTCTGGTGTCTGTGTGTCTCTGTGTTAGTCTGACTTACAAAGGAGAAGTCCGGCGCATTTTGGCACAGCAGTCGGGGGAAGACGGCCTGTCTATGAACACGTTCCTCGTCCTCAAACACATTTCCATACATGAAGCCATTTAGCATGGTGGAGTGGGAATGGACGTCGATGTAGAACTCCAAGCTAACGCTCTAATGGAGAAAAAGACAAAAGAGCAGAGGGTTAGTTGGAACAGTTTTCTATCAACGAGCAATGGCCCACAACAGATTCTTTCCCCTGGGAAAGACTTTGACCCGTGGGGCAGCTATGTCCACTCTGGACACTGTGGACTGAGATTAGAGCCCTACCTGAAAGGAGCTAGCCACCCAGTCATAACTTCAATCATGCTGTCCTTCTGAAGGGCAAACCGTAAATAAGTACATGGCTTGGAGAGGTGAGAGCAAAATGGTACAAACACAAACACACATCTGGACACCCAAGATTCATGACATCCACCAAAGTCATTTATTAGTTAATCCTGAACTCATTTTCAACTGTAAACTCTGCACAAATGGATGTGGTGAGATCTAACAACCAATTCAAACACTAACTCTAAAGAGAACTTAAAAACAAAAACAAAAACAAAAAACACATGAGCAACAAGTATCCAACTTACACTGATATAAAAATGAAATGGTTTAGGTTTTTCAGACCTAATTAAAAAAGGCTCATATATTTTTCTGTCACCTGTTGAAATCAAACTAAAGATCCAGCGTTAATGTCAGTGTTACAAATGTTTCATTTGAGATTTCTGCCTTACTTTTTGTAAAGTTAGCATTTTTGAGCCATTTTTATTATTATTATTATTGTAGAAATTACAGAAAGGGAAAGAACACAAATTATCAACTTAAGTTTAATGGCCAGAGAAGAAATGTCCTAAATATTTGTGGGAGCAGAAATCACTCAGCAGGAGGACAAAAATGATCTGAAACCCCAAATGATCTATGGGGTTTCAGCCAAACCAAACCTTCACTCTTCAGTAAGCCTAATTTAAATAAAAAACAGGCACATCGTGAAGTTAAAACGGATGATTTATTCATTTAGTCCCTAAACACAGCCCTGATTAAGGTGCTGATTTTATTACCATTTCTGTTATCGTATGTTTGTTTTGGTCCTCCCGTTTGTTTTGTTGAACATCTCATCATTTGCTGTGCAATTTTCAATTTGTACATCTGCGATAATCCATTGTATTTCACTTTATAATTGCTTAAAACTTAGTCGATAAAAGTTCTTGTATCTGCTAAAAGTACTTGCCTCTTTAGAGACTTGTTGAGTTTTTACTTTTTGGTTGCACTTAAATGTTTCAGATCAACCAAAATATAAAACAAACAAACAAGAAAGGCACAATAAATGCAAAACGTGGTTTTCCAGAAAGGATTTTGTTAATTAATGGCTGCCTGCCTCAACCCGTGTGACAGCATCATGTTGTAATCTTTGCAAACTATGGCTTTACCTAAAGGACACAAATGACAGATAAATCCAACACGGGCTGCTAAACTTTATTTAATATTAATCAGATTATCTACAGTTTATTTTAGGTGCTTACCAAAGAAAATACAATAGTACAATTAAATCATAACGTGCTTCAAGCATCAAATTAAGGGTGTGCACACTTAAACAACTAGGTTGTTGAAGCATTTCATTTCATTTATTTCCTTACAATGGGTTTACTTGCCTTCTAGATAAATACACAATATAAATGCCATTAAGTATGAAAAAAGGTTTTAAAAAAATGTATCATGATCTCATTTAATTAAATCATAAAAAAACCTTGCATTTTAATAGGGGTGTGTACACTTTCAAGAGCCTTTGTGTGCCTCAAAATTAGATAAACCTCTTCAGTCAACATTTGCTTTTTATGTAAATAATTTAATAAAGTGTATTGTCTGAAACTACACCAGGATGGGAGAGGGTTAACAACAGGGAGAGCTAATTAAATAAAATGTCAGGTTAGATGGTGCTTTAACAATCCAGAGGAAATTATGGGTCTGTTGCTCGATCACAGATACGTAACCATCCATAAAAGCACAAAAATGTGTCTGCCTTAGAAGGCCTGAGATCTAAAATAGAGAGTTAAACATTAACCTTTCTCCATCCAAGGTTCGACTTGGCCACCATGTTGAACACACACTATAAATGACTGTTTACTCCTGGTCCAACATCCCTTAACCTCAATCGCAAAATCAAATGAAGGAAGCAAGTCAAGGTTAGTAAAATTGATGTGTTAAATTATTTTGAGGCGACCTCACACACCAACACACCCCGCCGCACCTTCTGACCCTCAGCACCAGACTAACACCCACCAGCATCCCTAGCCTTTGCCTGCTCTCTCCATCTTATCACTGAGTTGCCTCTCTCCCGGTTTTATCCCTTTGCTCTTCTTCCATTCCCTCTTTTATCTTCTTCCCTCTCCGCTCATTACAGATTCAGCTCCACACCTTGTTCCCTGCGGGTCATAAACAGGAGGAGAGGGAGAAATGTGAGGAGAGAAAAGGAGAGAAAAAGATAGTGGGATGGAAGCAGAGAGAGAAAACAGAAAAAAAAGGATAAAAGGGAAAACGATGCATATGCTTGTAGTTACGTGTGTTTGTGAAGTAGAACAGGAGGGATTGAAGAGTTTACAGAAAAAGGAGGTGGGCGACGAAGAGAGAGAAAAAGGAGGCAATAAGTATATGAAGAGAAACAGAGAGAGAGGGGGGAATGAGAGAAAGAAAGAGAGAGAGAAACAAAGATGTGTGCGCAGAGACTGGCAGGGGTGAGACAGAAAGAGGGAAGTGATGCTTGGGCGGCCCAGGCGACGCAGTGTGGCTGTGTTTGAAATTCTGCTCACAGCCAAAGCAATTTCCTGGCGGTGGCTGTGCTGTCAGCTGCTTGGCTGGCTGGCGGTGAAATATGGTGGCTGGGAGTCGGCCGCTAGCAGCCCCCGACAACCTGATGGATGGAGCCCCAGAGGAGAGGAACAGCAGCCGGAGAAGGTGGGGTTGGGTGAGGAGAGGGTTGGGAGGTGGTTAGGTGAGGAGAAATAACAGAAAAACAAAAAGAGAAAGAGAATGAAAGCGAGACAGAGAGAGAGAGAGAGAGAGAGAGAGAGAACAGGAGGAGGGGAGAAAAGCTTAATGCGGCCAAGTGAGCAGCAGGGGTGATGTGAGGCAGAGAGGAGAAAAATATCATGAGGCAAAATGGTAAATTAACAAATGAATGAAACTGAAAGGGAGCAGAAAAAGAAAAGACCAAGAGGTAGGAAGATGGGAAAGACAGGTAGAGCAATTCAGGTTTATTAGAGGAAGAAAAAAAAAGGGTGGAGAGCAAAAGATCCAACCAGCAGAGTCTCAACAAGGCCAATAATCACTCAGGGCTCCCCCTCAGGTGGAGGTAAAGGAAAGTTAAAACAGAGGCGACAACAGAGGGCTGGGTTAAAGAAATGTGGACAGGCACATGATCAAAGAACACACTAGGAGGAGTAACATTATTTAGCTCCTGCCTTCATGCTACCCCACTGAACGGTAAAGGATGTGTTCATACGTCCAACACAATCTGTGGAAAAACCTTTTTTGAAGAGTTTTAGCTGTTTTGGCTGCAAAGGATGGGCTGACAAGCACGATGGATTAAACCCACGACACTGAATGTATCACAACTTAAAATAATCAAAATTTGTCAAAAGCTTCAGCAACAGAATTTTTTACCAACTTCAGCTGCAAATTTAAATTCTTGCGCCACTGATTGTATCATCAACCCAAAAACATTCAAACTAGAAGACAGCTTTCTCTGCAGGGATCTTCTTAAAAACTTTTTTTGTGAAAATGTTCACTGGAGCACATTCTTCACCGCCCAGCTTTGCTTTTATTCTCAGTTTATATTTGTGGAAGTTAGATTGTGTCTTTAAACAAAAAGCTGAAAAATACAAGGTTAAGCACCTGAGCCTTCACTTTCTGGAAACTAATCCTGATCCCAACCCAGAAAGCTTTCACGTGACGCTGTGAAGGTCTCTTTGAAGGACATCAGAGGATCTGCAGCAGCAGCCATGGAGCCCCGACAATGTCATGTCCAAGTCTACTACATTGCTTAGTTAATGCTCTGTCAATCAAACCAAGACGGTTCTGAAGGCCCCACCACTGTGATTGATGCTTCAATTAACAACCCGCTCTGACCTCCAGAATTGTTCATTTGAAATTGTAATTAAGCAATTAGGGGCAATTAAGAAACAGACTACTGAATGAAAGTCAGAAGACAATTTAGGAGAGGGAGAGATAGAAGTGCAGAGAGTGCAAGTGTCCAAATTAAGCCTCTCGGAGAAAAATAAAAACCCCGTCTTGCTGCAGAAACTCCAGAGAACTCTCAACTCGGGGTGAACTTGCAACGACGGCAATCAGTTTAGTGTAAAACCCAGAAGGTCAAACGAATGAATTTTGTCAGACAAGTACTTATCTGCTGCATATTAATTAGAGCCGGGTGCGGGAGTGCAGTGGGGGCCGTAAATGGCGGGCTTATCTGTACACGGAAAGGAAAAGTAGCTGATTGAAGCAGGATTACAGGCCCCTGAAAAAAAGCTCTTTGCATCAGCATCATACCTTTTGAAAAGACGGAGGACTGCTGCTGGTTCAGGAAAAAAAAAAAAAAAAAAAGTTGCCTCTGCTATTCATGCAATGTTAAACATACAATGTTAAACTAACAGGGTTTGGATACAACACTACGCTAAATGAACATTTTAATAATTTATATTGAGTTGGTCCTACTTTGACTGCAATAACTGCTTAAATATGCAAATTAGAGGGTGAGTTTGAGAAAAGATTGTCATAGCCGGCAGAAACACACGAAAACTGACCTTGACCGTACTTTTTCTCGAATAGATGTAAACACTTTGACTAGGCTGCCGAAAATGCTTTTCCAGGTGACAATAAGATAACACATTTTTCTAGTCCAGACCAAGCTCATAAAATGGTCCAAAATGTAAGGTTCATGACAACAAAAAAATGATCGTTTACCAAGAATATATTTCAGCAGCAGTGGATCTTGAGGGAACTGCTTCCAGGTAGTGAGATCTGCGAGATCCTACAAAACACATGGCGAATACTACTTGCCATATAAAGACTAATTTACATAAAAAAGAACTTGTGCTCATAACAAATGCTGGAATAACTTGGTCTAAATTCAT